AAAGCTGGCATTGGTCAGGGGCTTCAGGACTGTGCTCGCACACTCTGTGCTGGCTCCAGTACACATTCGCACACAGAGCTGACAGGGCTGCCTTATGCGACTTCGTCCACGACTCTGAACACTTCCGCCCGAGGAGCTGATGAATTGGCTGCCAGAAGATTGGGCCGCTCCAGGTCCCGAAATCAAACTGTTTCAACTGCTCCTCCCGCTCTATAGTCCTGACGACCGAGCCACGCAGGAGAAGGGTGAAAAACTTGGGCGAAAACCGATCAATAGACCACACACGGTTGAGGTCATCAACCAGGGCCATTCGAGACAGGTCGAAACTCCAGCGGATCCGAGCCAGCTGCAGGAAAAGCGCAGCAACAGGCTGGCGGACTTGGCCCCAGGGGGCCCTGCTCCCCTGGACCGCAATGGCATCCTGGACACAAGCCTCAAACACTGGTTTCGAAACCGAGCGGGCCCACCAAACACTGACGAATTCCTTTACAGCCGACGACACAGCCACCAAAAGCGGGTCCCTGAGCCAGAGGCGGGCAGCCGAAAGAAACCTGAAGCCCAGGGAGGTGCCAGGAAGAAGAGGGCCCCAGGATCTCGCAGCTTGGACCCTGAGCTTATGGAGGGTGGTCGGCGGGATCCCCAAAATGTGGGACCCCCACGCAGCTTTAGCCAGCGCACCCACACGAAAAACTCTACTGTGCTTTTCACTTTGCCCCAGATGACGAAGGGCGCGTGCGGTGCTGCGGGCAGCATCACATCTCGATGTCTGCGTGCCGACCCGCCTCGCCCTGCCGTCCAGCGAGTCGCCGCCGAGGTCACGGTGGGCGATGACCAGCTTGTCGTCCGATAGCTTCCACCTGGGGTCCTGTCTCAATGCAGGCAGCTGAGATTGATCGGACATCATGAATCTAGTCTTGTCCCAATTGATCGGCAACTTCCTCGAATCCAGCTCGGCGGTGACGATCTCGAAACTCTTGACCGTGTTCTCCACCACCGTCCTGGGGCCTCCGATGATATGCGTCGTCAAATCATCGACCACATTCAGAGCCCGACACGGAGGCGTTTCCTCAGCCAGGCGCTTGAGGAGGCACAGAGTCATCAGCTTCGCCACTCCCGTAGCCGCACTGCATCCAGCCACGATCGTACCATTCGGGTGACTGACTCTGCTCGTGCCCCCTGTCCAGCGCGCCCGCCGTGGTGCACGATACAGGCAGCAGAGCGCCTTCAGCAAGGCGCCGTCGAAATCGTAGTGTTCTGCTGCTTCACGCAGCTGCTGATGACTGACATTCTCGTAAAACTTGCGGATGTCGTAGAAAACAGTAATTGCCGACAGCTTCTTCCTTCTGGCGTAACAGGCCAGCATGTTATGCAAGTACGCCGCCTTGTCGCAACTGGTCGTGGCATCTTTTCCCCAGAAGAACTTCGCGTCCACAGACGTCTCCCAACTCTTTACATACTGCCTTCTGCATCTGCTCCAAATGCGTGCCCAGAAACACAAGAGCCCAATAGGCCGTGTGCCCCCACCAGGTTTGGGCAGAAAAACATTGATCGTGACCCACATGCGTTCACATTGCGGATTGCGCTCCCAACTGGAGATAATCTCCTGCAGTCTCCGCACAAACACCCCATCCAGAAAGGTAACCAACCTCATGTGAAAGTTGTCCCAGCCAAGCCCAGTAGAAATGCCAAAGGAGCGGCATACCTTGACGATCTGGTCCTCCGATATCGGGTCAAGCTTCCACGGGTAACTCCAACCAGACGGCGCTGCCTCCTGGGCCCTATCGTCAGAGATCCACAGCTCTTCCCATTCCTCCAGCACCGCCGTGATCGCCGCAGCTCCCACCAGACCGTGGGGCTTGCCTTTTGCCAGCGTGGGCGCCTCCTCTAACATCTTGGGCCTGGAGATCGCGTGCGCTATCCTGCCCGAGCCTTGAGCAGCAAGTTCACCGAACTCCCTCCAAGCTTTACTCCTGGCCTGTGAGTCTTTGCGCCTGCGAACTTCCACCTCCTCCACAAGCACCGTCCGAAACCAGGCCGCCAATTGACCTCCTCTCTTGGCCAGAGCCACCCACTTCTGGACCTCCTTAGCCTGCAGGGAGGGGGACTCCGAGATGGCCTCAGGTAGCCTTAAAGCCAGCAGCTGCCTTTCGCACCTCTCTGAGTGCTCTGGTCTGCCTGCCTTCGACCCAGGCGGAGCTGATGATGCAACACATAAGGCATCCCATAGCCTGAGGGCACTCAGCCAGGCTCTAGTGTCCGTCTCGTCGTGGCGCTCGAGGATAGATTTCGCACAATCCACCAGCCTCTTTTTCTTGAGTACCACGCCCTTCTCCCTGCCAAAGAAGAATCTCCTGTCTGCGATCGGAATCTCGAACAGCTGCACGAGGTACTTCTCCGCCGCTTTGAACCACATCGCTGCCGCATCCTCAACCGAGCTCACAGGGGCATCCAGATGCCACTCGTCAAGCACAGGTATTGTAGGCCGTCCCGTGGTCGGGGTGAGGACGGTCTCCATGGCGCCCCTGGCCTTCTTCCTGACCCTCCTCTTGGCCTCCTGGTCGGCCAGCGGAAAGGCTCGCGGGGGCGCCTCCACCCAGACAAAGGGCTCGTCACTGAAGCCCTCCAGCTTGATCTCCACGTAGCAGTGTGGCGAGATCGGCGTGTCCACCCTGGCCTTCACCGACATGGGGAAGGCGTCCAGAGCCTGGGAGCCAATGAAGTAGTCGTACTCTTTGCCATTGCAGGTTGGGCAGCCAGGTGCGAAGATGGTGGCGGCTACCAGGTCCAGCCAGCCCAGCTCCATGATCTCCTCAGGTTCAAGGTTCCAGTCGCCTCCCAGCAGGAACGGGAAACGCTGCGCCCCCAGGAAAGTGCTGAGGAACTCCAGTAGCTCCAGGTTCTCGCCCTTGGGGCCGATCGAGTCGACGCCATAGACCGAGCCGATGATGATCCACGAGTGAGCGCCTACCGTCATGAGCCTCATCACCACCCGATGCTGCCACCTCTCAGGCACCTGGAGCTTGGACACCCCAATGCTCATGGCCGCCGACAAGCCCACTCCAGCTGAGAGAGATCTGGCCGATTCTCCTGTGCGCTTTGCCGAACCCAGCGCCAGCTTCCGAGAGCAAGTACGGGTCCATTGATGGGCCCCTGCTTCCCCCGACTGGTCCAGTACGGTCTCCTGAATGCACAACACCTGCGGCAACTGGCAATGCATCTCAATCCAAGGCATAGTGTTCCGAGCCCTTGGCCACGTATTCGCATTCAGAGTGCCCACTCTGAACGTACCTTGGGCCCCGCGGTCCTCAGGAGGGAGCCCCTCCACCAGTGAGATGACCTGCTTCGGCTGCAGCGCTGCCATAGCTTCTCCTTGAGGTTGCTCAACACTGACTCCCTTGGCTCGAGACCCAGCACGTGGCGACTGAACCTGGGAGGGCGCAACAGCCGAAAATCGGTTGCCCCCAGGATTTGGCGTTCTAACACCCGAATCCCACGGGGAGGAGGAGGAGGAGGAGGAGGCGGAGGAGGAGGAGGAGGAGGAGGAGGAGGAGGAGGGGGAGGAGGGTGAGGAGGAGGATGAGGAGGAGGAGGAGGAGACACGAGGCCTACCAGCGGCCGCTCGGAAGCTCCCAGTCCTCCCTTCCCCCCTTTTATCTCCTCCTTGTCCTCCCTCCCCCTCCTCTCCTCGCCGCCTCCTCCGCATCTCTTCCTCTTCCTCTCCTCGCCTCCCGCCCCTCCTCCTCTCATCATCCTTCGTCTCCTCCTCCTATTCCGTTCGCGCTCTCATCACCGGCACCCTCCTTCGCCCCCGCTTCCCTGCCGGTCTCCTCCTCTCTCCCCATGCTGCTCCCCCGACTCTCAAATTCTTCTCCTCCGCTGCTCTTCAGCCTCTTCGCCCTCCTTTCACTCATACTACTTTAAAATTATCCTCATCCTCATCCTCATCCTCCCACTCCTCGTCCTCCAGTCCTACTCATCCGCCTTCCCTCATCCTCCTCTTCGTCCTCCTCCTCCTACTCCATCACCCTCCTCATAACCCCCTGATGCTACTTTCTCCCTGCTCCTCCTCCTCCTCCTCCTCCTCCTCCTCCTCCTAATATTCCTCGCCTGCATTCTACTCAGAATCTGTCTCGGATGTTAGAGGAGCTGCATTCGTGTAGACCATCGTGGGCGGGTCCAATCTTTTCAAGCTCCCAGCTGGCTTGGGGTAGGATCCAGATTTGTCACTGCGGTGAGGGGCTCTGGCTGACCCACTTTAACCATATGCTCATACACCCCATCATCCTCCGCCTCATCCTCCTCCTCCACCGTCTCCTGTTGATACGTCGTCTGCTCATCTGCCTCCTCCTCCTCCTCCTTCTGCGTCTCCTCTTCCATTCCGCTGAGCTGGTGTGTGGGTGGGTGGGTGGGCGGTGGGCGATGCGGGAGGGGTGGGTGGGTGGGTGGAGGGTGGGATACAGGACGAGGAGAAGGACGGTAAGGAGAAATGGGTGAATGATGACGGCAATGCTGCCGCATGCCTTCCCGTTTCAAGCCAACCCGCTCATTCGTCAACGCAACACAAACGTTCCCGCTCACTGGGCCAGTGATGTTACTTATCATTGGCAACCTCGGGGAGTTGAAACTGTGATGCTCCTCATGTAAGCAGACGATTAAGGAAAGAATATGGTGGGAAGGGTCAACAAAATAGTCTCCAAATCTTCGGCTTCCGCTTTGCTGCGGCTCCGTCTGGCTCGTCGACTGTCCAGGCGTGCGCCCGAGGAGGCCGGGAGGAAAATATTGAAAAATAATAACCTGGCCCAGGGCAATTGTTTCAATCATCATCCTGGGCGCCGCTGCGTGAACACTACTCCCAATAATTTCCTCATCATCCTCCTGCGATATGGCCTGGCCAGAGGGTTGGAGCTGGCGAAGGCTGAGAGAGTCCACACCCTCTGGAGGACATGCCACAACGGGAAATCTAAGTACCCTTCCGATTGAACTTGAACCATCTTTGATGCGTCGAACTGTTGGATCCGTCGAACTGCTGGGATGCCATCACGTCTCAAACGAGACATCGATTTGAACACGAGCCGCACTTCGTCCGTGTGACTCTTTTTGTTGTCTGGCATCCTGTCATCATATGATACGTGCCACATTTGGAACGCGGCACCCCAGTCAAGCGCTCTCGGAGCGGCGCGCACAAGCCGATCCGCGCACTGCGCAGCGGCATACCCATCTGGTAGCGCTACGCTGAGCAGAGCAATCCGCGCCCCTCCCCCCCCAAACTGGCTGCGACAGCCACCTCCCGCCGCGCGGGAGAGTCTGAAACAGAGCGACCTACGACAACGGCAGCTCGAACTCGGCCCCAGGACCTTTCCTGGGGCCCAAACGCGCGAGCTTTCTGAGTCGCATCTGGCCGCGGCGACGAGGGGCCCCCCCGAAGGCCAACTACGGTTGCCTCTCACCTCGCCCTCCTCCGCGACGAGGACGTCGAGAGCGGACAGGAAGGAGGGGCAACGATAGGGGGGTCTGGCATAGGAGGGGATGCATCGACCTGGAATCGGCGATACGTCGCCGATAGAGCGGCGATGGGCCCCCGATAGTGAATCCGCACCTTCCTGGGCAGGTTGAGGCTATCGGGCCCCTATCGGCGATCAATGGGCGATTGGGGGTCGATGCATCCCTCCCTATGCCTATCCCCCCCATCGTTGCCCCTGAAGGAACAGGGACGACGACGGGGACAGCGACGCCGGTGGCCGCGGCGATGTCTCAGCTCGCCATCCTCTAAGGGAAGCCCCACGCTCGGGCCACCTCCACGCAAAAAGGCGGCACAGGCCGCCCGCGAGCTCGGGGGCGCACCTCGCCCTGGCTCTCCCTCTCTCTCTCTCTCGCGCTCGCTCTCTCTCTCTCTCTCTATCGAGCGCGTTTCTTTATTTTCCGGCGGCGATAGTGGGCATTACAGGGAGGGGGGGGGAGGGGCCAGGAGGGGTATAACGTAACGCCTCCCCCCCCCCGTGGCACGGGCGCACGGGCGGCAGTGCCCGGAGGGCAGTGGGGGGAGAGGGGCGTTACGTCATAGCGGGGGGAGGGGGGGCCGGGGGCTATACTGCCCATAATGCCCCAAACAATAACAAAACACGCCCCTGTCTCGCGCGGATTGCCAGGGCAATGCCGGCGGCGCCGGCGGGGAGGAGGATGGGGGGGGGGGGAAGCAGGGTGTTTTGGTTGCCCGGGGCCCGTTCCGGGGCCCCGGGCACGGCGAGTCCTCCGCAGGGCGGGGAGGAGGAGGGGAAGGCCAGGCAGGCGGGGGGCAGGAGGTGGCGGGAGGGAAGGAGCTGGCCGGCGGGAGGCCCCCGCACAGACCCGCGCGGGAGCATATAGCATGACGTGGTGCGCCGCCGCCGCGTTCCGCGCGATCCCTCCTCACTTCAGGTGCCCGAACAGCTCGTGCGCGACGCAGTGGTCCTGGCACTGGCTCAGCTCCTCGAACTGCCCCTTGCAATCGCCTTTGCCGTCCGTGCGCATGGAGATGCGCTGGACGCAGGAATTGTACTCGGTGAGCCAGCTGCTGCACGCCGCGAGGCACTTGGGCTTCATCTCGTCACCAGGGTCCTTCGCCTCCTCCCCGGGCTTCAAGTGCGGCGCGTGGTACTTGGGGAAGTGCATGAAGAAGGTCGGGCTGTACGATCCAGACATCGCAGCTGGGAGACTTGAAGGTGGCAGGCGAGTACCTGAGAACTTGCGACTCCCGCGAGCAACTGTCTGGGTCTTGAATCGAAATGGCTGCATGCACCCATGCCAACTACTCTTCGAGCATTTTACGTGTTGTACCAAGGCTTGTACGGGGAAGTAAAGCGTGCGCTCGGCTTTGAACATGAAGTGCCGTCCATCATTTGTCGATCTTGCACATGCTCAATTATCAAGATCATTAGACGTGGAGACATCTCGAAACAAGAAAGAACATTTGAACACCAGTCAACCTGCATCCGCTTATCTGCTGCCAGCTTTCGCGCCCCTGTGCCATAAACTGCATACGCTGAAACCGACCCACCCACTAGTAGGGAAGGTGAAATGAAGAAGACGAAGAGGAGGATGACTGGGTCGGGAGGGAGGGGTAGTTGCAGAGAGGAGAAGAGAACGACGCGGCAGCCGCCGTGACCCCCGCCGCTGTCGCTGTTGTCGCCACTACACCCGTCGCTGCCACCACCGTCGTCGTGACGCCGCTGCCGTCGTCGTCGTGGTATTTGCAACGACGCCACCACCGCCGCCGACTCCTCCGCCACCGCCGCCGCCGCCGCCATCGCCGCCGACACCTCCACCACCGCCTCGGCCGCCGCCGCCGTCGTCGTCGTCGTCGCAGTCGCCGCCGCCGCCGCGGCCGCCGCCGCCGCCGCCCTCGTCGTCGTCGTCGTCGTCGTCGTCGTCGTCGTCGTCGTCGTCGTTGCAGCCGTCGTCGTCGTCGTCGTCGTCGTCGTCGTCGTCGTCGTCGTTGCAGCCGTCGTCGCCATCCCCCCGCCCGCCAAGCGTGCACGGATCCGTTGGTGGCGACCCGCTCCACCATGAGCCGCGAGACGCCGCCGTCCTGCGAGGGAGGGGGGGGGCGCGGAGGAAGGTCCGCGAGAGGGCTCCGCAAGGCAGCCACCGAAGGGGGCGTGCCGCACGCGTGCCTCCAGAGGGGCTGCAGGCCACCGGAGAGGAGGAGGGAGAGGAGAAGGAGGGAGAGGAGGAGGAGGAACAGGAGGAGGAGGGAGAGGAGGAGGAGGGAGAGGAGGGAGAGGGAGAGGAGAGAGAGGGAGAGGAGGAGGGAGAGGAGACTTCTTAGTCAGCGGTGTTGGTCAGCGGTCCCGCGCGGTGCACGCGCTCTCCGCGCGGGACCGTGCCCAACGCCGCCAGCCAACAGAAAGTCTCGGACCGTGCCGTCGCCGCTTACGGCTCGGGCGGCGAACCACCGACATGCTGGGACCCCAGAGAGGCCCCAAGCAAGCCCCCAAGAGGCCCCTGGGACACACCCAGAAGCCCCCCCTGCTGCCCCCATGAGCCGTCCAAGACGCCCCGTGAGAGGCACGCCAAGAGGCAGTCAGATGCATCCAAGAGCCTCCTGGTCCACAGCCCAGGCCCGGTGGCGGGCTGGCCCGAAGGCAACTCGATAAATTCCGCCATCCTCGCGAGTTTTGGGCGCCCGAGTTATCCGGGGTAACTCGGGTCAGGGGTAACTCGGGTTTGGATTCCCGAGACAGGAACCCGAGTTAGCCCTGACCCGAGTCACCCCTGATGCTTCGGGGCTCTGGACGCCCGAGTTATCCGGGGTAAGTCGGGTCCGGAGTAAGTCGGGTCCGGATTCCCGAAAAACGACCCCGAGTTAGTCCTGACCCGAGTTACCCCTGATGATTCGGGGCTCTGAGAAGTCTCACTCCTTGTGGGGGGTCGGCGGAATCGCGACGGCCACTCGCATGCACCTCGGCCCCCGGGGGCCCGACCATGCCCGCGCCCACCGCCTGCCGAGGCCCTCGGAGATCGATCCCCCGGGCGGTGACGGGCACAAGGGCAGAAGCCCGTGCACGTCAGGGGTGCTCCTTCGGGAGCGGCAAAGGAGGGGGGCGTCAAAGAGGGGGGGGGTGCAAATCATGACCGGCGGCATGTGCGCGGCCCAGCGGGGGGGCCAGGGACGTAATGAAACAAGAAGAGGCGCCATGAGATCTGGGGAAATATCATGGCCCGCGCCATGATATCCACCCCCCCCTAGTCCTCACCCCCCTCTTTTCCGCCCCCGACAGGCACAAGGGCAGAAGCCGTGCACGTCAGGGGTGCTCCTGCAGCATGGCGAAGCGGCGATGACCGGGTGAAGCCACGAGCGTGCTACGGTACCTTTAAATCAAGCCTGTCCACCTACAGGGGGATTTCCTACGAAAAATAGAAATCAAAAAATACTCAAAACATAGTCCCCGTACTATTCGTGGACTATGTGTTGATTATTATTGGAGTTTTTCTTTATTTGTCATCGAAAGATCCCCCTGTAGGGGGACAGGCCCGACCTAACAGTACCTCTCACTCGGGAGGCCCCTTGGGCGGTGGCCATGGACAAGCACCGCCTCGGACCTGCACGGGCAAAGGGGGGGGGGGCCGGGGAAGAGCAGCCGCACAGGAGCGGAAGGAGCACGGAAGGGGGGCCCGGGGCAACCGGGCGCCGCCAGGCGGTTCCGCGGCCTCGCCACGGAGGAGGAGGACTGCTCGGCCCCCTCGGGGGAGCCTCCCGAGGGCCAGGCGCGCTCGGAGCCTCCAGGGATGGTCTGCTTGACGTGCCGCCTCTCGAACTCCACAGCCTGCCGTGCAGTGCCGAGCCGGCAGTGAGCACAGCTGAATGCCTATCTGCGCGGACTCTGAGGGCGGTGGTGGCCACTGCACACTGCACTGGGGAAGCGAGTCTTGAGCAGAGAACGCGCACAGCAAACACGACGCGAGGACACCGCCGCCGCCGACGACGTCGTCGTCGACGAAGACGGCGACGGCGATGGCGACGGAGACGGCGACGGCGACGGCGACGACGACTACGACGACGACGACGACGACGACGACGACGAAGGGGATGAGGCGTTCGGACGATCCGCACCGAAGCGTCGACACAGGAGGGGCAGGAGACGATGAGAGGGCCAGGAGGATCAGAGGAGCAGCAAAGGTCAAACGGGGAGGAGGAGGAGGAGGAGGAGGAGGAGGAGGAGGAGGAGGAGGAGGAGGAGGAGGAGGAGGAGGAGGAGGAGGGGGAGGAAGGAGGAGGGAGGAGGAGGAGGAGGGAGGAGGTAGGAGGAGGAGGGGGGGGGGGAGGAGGGAGGAGGAGGAGGGGGAGGAGGGGGGGAGGAGGGGTAGGAGGCGGGAGGGGGAGGACGGGGCGCCCAAGTGTGAGGGGTCCAGGAGGGGGGCTTGAAAACCATGGCCGAGGCACGTGCGCGGCCCCGGGGGCTGGGGGGGGGGGGGACGCACTGAAAGCGGAGCAGGGGCGCCGCGGATATCTGGGGGAGAGTTTGCTCCATCGTGCTCGAGGACCACATCTAGGGGAACAAAAATGAGGCATTAAAACATAAAAACTCGGAGGTTCCGCGCGGTTTATCGGATCGCCGGCGCCCGCCCCTGGCGCGCTCCGCGCGCCAGGGAGAGGGGTCCAGCGCTGATCCGAGAAATCCGCGCGGACCTCCGAGTTTTTATGTTTATGCCACTTTCTGATCCCCTAACATCCCAAGCATAATTTCGAGCACCCCGACGAGTATCGGGCAAATGTCTGCCCGACACGCTGGCGACGTGCCGAACGAGCATCGCCTCCCAGGGCCCGACACGCCCAAACCCTGCAATTTCTCGATACCTGTTTGGTGCTCGATCAGTATTTTCTTGGTGCTCACGGAGACGAAGCGGTCTTGAGCAGGGACCTGCCGTCCCGGCTGTTCCTATAAGCTGAGGTCGGGCCTGTCCCCCTACAGGGGGACTTTGGACGAAAAAAACATATTCAACAGATGCTTGAAAGCTGCCCCCCACTGCTCAAAAGATAATCGACCCCAGACTATTTGTTGTGCATTTTTGCGCTGTTTTTGAATGTTCCTCCTGTAGAGTCGGGAGCGGCCAAGAGGGGGGTGTCCAAGAGGGGGGGGGGTGCAAATCATGACCGGCGGCACGTGCGCGGCCCAGCGGGGGGGCCAGGGACGCAATGGAATAAGAAGAGGCGCCATGAGATCTGGGGAAATATCATGGCCCCCGCCATCATATCCCCCCCCCTATTTGGACGCCCGAGATGGGTACGGAAACAATGCGCACAATGCCCAACAGCAAATGTTGTCCCGAACCAACCGCGGCCGCTGTTGGGCGGGCGGCCTTCTGTCTCGAATGGACACAGGCCGCGGCGGCGCGGACAGCGAGTCCTGTTCAAAAGGAACAGAAACTGCTGTTGGGCATCGTACCCATTCGTTCCGTGCCCATGTCGGGCGTGCAGACCCTAGTCATTTCCCCCCTCTTTTCCGCCCCCGACCCTTAGTGTCTCCTCCCCTTTTTTTGGCTGGCCGCCGGGAGGGAGGAGGGAGGAGGGAGGAGGGAGGAGGGAGGAGGGAGGAGGGAGGAGGGAGGAGGAGGAGGAGGAGGAGGAGGAGTGAGGAGGAGGAGCGGGTAGAGGAGGAGGCGGAGGCGGAGGCGGAGGAACAGGCCCGACGTAAGCCATGCGAGCGGAGAGCGCCGTCGCCCCGCCCCGCGGGGCCGGGCGCGGGAACGGCTCGGGCCGCGGCCGCCCGAGGGCGCCGCGGCGTCGGGCTGCGTGCCGCGCCGGTGGCGCGGTGGGCCGTCACGGGGGCGGAGCGGCGCGCTGCCCTCGCAGTGCTGGGCCGTACAGGGAGTTGTTTTTTGTTTGTTTTTCTTTTTTAAAAAACATGTTTTATGTTTAATAAAAAATGTTTAATAATCGGATTTTGGATTTTGGACATATAGGATTTGTAATACATGATGAATGCATGAATGCATTGCTGCATGAACTCATCGTTGCTTTTAATACTACATCCCTGCATTTTTAATACACGATCCGCACGCGGAGCATGTTTTAGAAACGGCACTGTACTCCCTCCCTGAGCGTCCCGTGGGCCACAGCGCACGCCACTGGCACTCGCCATCGCTCGGGCGTCCACTCCCTGTGCAGTTGTTTCGGTGTCGTGCGTGCGCGCGTTGTCGCAGGCTGAGCATAACGTGCTCCTCGATGGTCCTCGCCGAGAGAAAAGGCACACGTCCGAGCGATGCCACTTGTGACTACCTACCAGACCAC